TTAACTTGGGCTCCAACTGTTTCAACGACTAGTGCTTCTCTGTGGATGAGACAGTGCGTGACCTTAGTGGCTAGATTTATCTGTCCACCAGCGTGACAAAGCCGTTGACATTTCCCGTCATGCCAGGGGCGCCATCTGTACAAATGCAATCGCAGTTTTTCCCGTTAACGTTATGTCTGCATCTTATCGTATTGTCTGACAGTGGAATCTTATTGTTGTAAGACCTAACACTCTCGCATCGTATTGTCGGACAGTGGAATCTTATTGATGTAAGACCTAACACTCTCGCATCGTATTGTCTGACAGTGGAATCTTATTGATGTAAGACCTAACACTCTCGCATCGTATTGTCTGACAGTGGAATCTTATTGATGTTAGACCTAACACTCTCGCATCGTATTGTCTGACAGTGGAATCTTATTGATGTAAGACCTAACACTCTCGCATCGTATTGTCTGACAGTGGAATCTTATTGATGTAAGACCTAACACTCTCGCATCGTATTGTCTGACAGTGGAATCTTATTGATGTAAGACCTAACACTCTCGCATCGTATTGTCTGACAGTGGAATCTTATTGATGTAAGACCTAACACTCTCGCATCGTATTGTCTGACAGTGGAATCTTATTGATGTAAGACCTAACACTCTCGCCAAACCCGAGTCTCACAATTTCTCTGCAGGCGCCTACAATAAAGGTTTTTGTTGGCGGTATGTGATTTCATGTTCCTTTTTTGTTTGTTGTTGTTGTTTTTTTGCCCGCATTTCGTGACATCAGAATTTACTACTTGAGTTCTGTTCTTTATCTTGAACTTGTTCTCAAGAGTAGCGGTTTGTTTTTATTCGAGCCTAATGCCCTCTCGATGTATGCCACAATCTTGTGCGCTGCATCCGGATGTCTAACTGTTAAGAGTCGCTTCACTTTGGCATGTGCCTTGGCACTGTTGGCAAGCTTTTCCCCGCAGGCAACACGGAGCAGTAAACGGCAGTCTGGGTCTCCTGCGTGGGTGCATTGCATAGCTAAGTAATTGTCAGTGCACTGACGAACTTTAAGATTCCGATCCTTACAACGAAAATGTAATTAAATGGAGATTTAAAAAAAAAAAAGACTAATTACCGCCCGCCACGGCCAGACTTGGCCCGTGTGATTTCGGCCCTCATGTTTATATTTTTGCTGGCCACCTGCGGCGACCCTGGTTAGGGGTCACGGAACCCTGGGCGAAAAACACTCTCGCTGTTTTAGTTACCAATAATTAAACACTTGCTTAAAATTTTACAAAATTGTCATTAGCTGAGCTATAAACAGGGTTTCTTTCAGCTTTATCTCGGGGGGGGGGGGGGCCCTGCCCCCGGGAAACCCCAAGTACCCCCCGGAGCAAAAATATGTCCAACAATAAATCAACTGGCACTGCCCCCCCCCCCGAAAAATCCGAAGTGCGGGGGGGGGGTGATTTCTGAAATAATAACTGGCTATAAACATCCGTAGACTGACACTAATAGCAGTAATCCACAAAAAACGATATTTCACGATATTTTTTACGAATTTAAGGTTTTTTCCCCCATTCACTTTGGTTCCCTATACATTTGACTCTCTATATCCCTGGGCCTAATGAGCGATGTCACGTAGGTTGACGTGCCATGGCCATTGCTGTCACACTTTATTCGTCTACTTCTAATGAAACTTACGGAACCGGGGGTTGGGTCGAGCATGATTGATTAAAATTTTTGTAATTTCATTCGACGAAATGTCTCTGCTATGTATCCACAGATCATATGTTGAGAATCGTTGCTACAGATGGGTCTAAAAACAGCAAAGTGGGAAGGCTGGAAATTCACCACAGGGTAGTGCATTCTTCTTCTCTATTAGTACATAAATTGGTTGGTACATTACAGTCGTCCCTCGTTACTACTAATTCGAAATTTGTGTTTTCGCTCTATTGCATTTTTTCCCCAAATATAACATGTATTCATTTAAAAGTTGATCGAGATAGTGAAAATGATACAGTCTGAGTCAATTATAGACCCTTGTATTACAATAAAAATCACTGCACGTATGGACTCTATGCAGGCATATTATTCGAACACTATCAAGGGATCTAATAATGTGGGAAAACCTTAATTAGAGGGACGTGAAAATGTTTTCTATGCTCTAAATCCTAAAATATCTGATTTATAAATACAGAATCCCACTTGGTAGAAATTCGCGTATCACGGTAGTCTGGAAAATTATTAACCGCGATAAACGAGGGACGACTGTATTCCTTTTAAACATATTTTTATTATTATTTTGTTTTCTTATTTTAAATAACATGAAAATATCTAACACTCCATCATTTTATATGTACCAGTACCAACTTTCTTTGCCATTCATTAAAACTAAAAGTGGGGAAATATTTCCAATCCCACGCCTGCTCCATTGCTTAACGTACGCTTTTTAACGGAAGCGATTCAGTCCTAATTTATCCAGTAACCTTAAATTCCCACTGTACGTAGTCATTTAACAAATAGGCATACCTATTAAATCATGTACCCTCCTCATTTTGATAGATAAGCCCTAGAATAAGGTAACGTACTATATTTTTAGCTCTGCTGAAGTCCGCCAACCAGCTATACATTAACAATAACATAATGCCGAAACTAAACTATAACGCCTTAAGTAAAACAGATTGTATGAGTTGAAACTATAGTATTAGTATAGCGTGAACGCCTACGTTAACATAATGCCGAAACTAAACTATAACGCCTTAAGTAAAACAGATTGTATGAGTTGAAACTATAGTATTAGTATAGCGTGAACGCCATGGGGATCTCAAACTCAAACAGTTGAATTTCAACTTTTCAAAAGATCGTTGCTTAGACTTTCTGAACATTGCTCCGCAGTCCCACGTCTCACTTTTTAGGGTTTTACTATAGACTATTGAATTCATTAAATCAATCGCAAGCCAGTATTAAGTCAACATGAAATGGACACATTGTAGTATACAGTTACTTATTTCAGGGTATGTGATTGTAGTAAACCGTTACTTGTTTCAGGGTATGTGATTGTAGTAAACCGTTACTTGTTTCAGGGTATGTGGCTGCCAGTGTGTGCTGAAGGTTGGAGTGGCATCTCCTCAGTGGTAGCCTGCAAGCAGATGGGTTACAAGGACGGCAGAGAGATCGAAAGTGGCGAGTGGGAGGGAGGGGCTAACATGACGTGGCTCAGCAAAGTGGCTTGTGGTGGCAATGAGACCCGTTTAGATACCTGCAACAACGAAGGCTGGGTGCAGTCGTGTCCGGGACTGTCTCCGGCAGGTGTCCGTTGTCTCTGACACCAGTAACCGATAGGGTGTGAGTGGTTCATGGAGGGTCATGGTTGCATTCTCATGGGAACTTAGTTGCAGTCATGACAATTTTAATACCTTATTTCCGTATACTATTGGGAGTAAGTGCCAAGAAAAACATCTTAAAATTAGATAAAATCTTAACAGTTAACAGTTCAATACGGCAAAGAAATTTATCAGGAAAGCAGCAGGAAGCTAATGAATGCACTTATTAGATTTAAGATAATTTCTTTTTGGTTAAGTCGCACAAGTTACCCTGAGAAATATTTGTTTCTGCTGAGTAAAATGAGCACATCAAATTGTTGATACATTGTTTATATTGATGTGCTTATTAGGAAAGATTTCTCCATTAATTTTGCTTAAAATTCAAATGGATATCATAAGGTAAATAATATTAAAATAAATTGCACCCCTTAATTATGAAATCAATGGCATGAGGATACTTTGGATAGCCATTTATAGTTACACCAGAATATTTGGGTCAAGGTTGTTACATCACACAAATATACAAATGAAACAACCTGATCCAATTTTTTTTTATTATAAGTTATACTTAGAAATATTTCAGGGTAAACAAAATCCTCAATTTGATGCTTCAACTCTAAGTCAAAGGCAAGTTCAACAAGTCTGGACTGATTTTGGTTAACAAATTTTACCAATGTTGGAATGCTCCATGTATAAGTATAATATTTATCCAAATCCCCAAGTCTAAAAGGGAAGACATTGCTTTAGTGATAGGACTTTGAGCACACAAGTACAACTAATACACGGTGCTGGGATGTAAAATTATTATTTGTGACTGTAATTTGTAATTGTCAATACTGGTACTTGTAAAGATGAAGCCAGGTAAGAGCTTGAAAACATGCATTGCAGTATTTGGTTGTACAAGAACACGCTCAAACTACAAAATGTCATCTCAGTATTCAACTGTACGACACACAGCTTGTGTCTGACAAACAGCTTGAAGTTTTGTGTTTTTTCTATGTTGTATTGTCTTTCATTTTCATCAATAAGTGACAACGAACAGTAAATGAACAGGTATTAAAAGGTTTACTCATGAGATGGCAAATAATCCTAGCAAATAAGGAGGAAACTGATGCATTTTGTGTCAGAAAAGCAAACAAAGTGTTCTCTATTTTAATCTTTGGTTGAGTTAAGCATTTGAGAGAACAAATACTTGTCTTACAAAATGAATAAATAATAATTTATGGCAATGCAAAATAGTCTGTATCCGATGGATTATGACCATGTATGTGTACATATAAAGACAGTATAAACAATAACACATAGTGAGGGCTTTTTTCTGTATTTTGTCTGTAGTTCTCAATATCCCTACTCAAAAGCCTTTTTTGCAAAAAAAAACTAAATAAATTGTGCTACTAAAGAAGAAACTCCTTTTCATCAACAATTCTTCAAGAAATCTACCTCACTACAAACACCAGGGCACAGAACATCTCAAAATCAACGCAAGTAAATTCTTACAAAAACAAATGATAAAGGACAGAAGATTAATATGGTTACCAACATTTAATGTCAAACTAGTCAATCACTACTCAAATCCCATAGATTGATAAGGGTATTTTCAAATACCCCAGTACCTTTTTGTGTATTCTCTGCTTGTGAATGCATCATTTTCATAAACACACACACACACACAAAAAAGAGTACAAATGAAGGTGTGAATTTTAAATTGATCAGAAAGATATGCTATAAATCTTTTTCTTGTATTGTGTTCAGAACATGTATGTGTGATATAATTCTGTAATAAACTTAAACAAATGTTGATAATCTGTATTATTTTTATTGTGGCTTATTTTGTCATTGAAAGATTCTTTCTATGGGCTCATAATAAATTTAAACACAAAATTATTTACAGAAATACAGAAACCATTAATTAGAGAACAACATCATTTAATATGAACTATTATCTTCTGCTTCTTTGCACTTTGGATTTGACGCCCTTCACAGCACCTCTTTTAGCTCCCTTGACAAGGTTGTTAAAAGAACCTTTTATTTTCATCTGTTTTCTATTTTGGGGGGAAAAAGCAGGACATTTTTTAAAAAAAATAAGGTCACAAGAAGCTGATAATAAACAAAAATAATATTGTTCTTAACACCAGTCCGGTATTCCTAAACTGACATGGTGTTTTGACAAACCCACACAAAAATTGCTGACAAGCTAAATATGTCTGTTAAATCAAAGCATGTATATGTGTACAGATATACTAATGTTGCGATACAAGCCTTATCAATGTAAATTGGTAATGTAATCACCAACCTTTTATTGAGAGCATTAAAATTCAAGGGCACATATGCATATGGATCAGGTCTCCCCTTCTTCTTTATATCACCCGACGCTTTCTATTTATTAGGAAGAAGAAGAAGAATAAGAACAAAGTGGCAATTATATAATGTACCTTGTCATATTTTTTTTATTTTGAAGAATTAATAGTCCTTTAACATAAATGATAATGACTATAAATGTAAAATGTATGTTACTGTATGGTAATTAAAATATTTAACACAAAAAACAGAGAAAAACCTGGAAAAGCCTAATGCTAACCAAAAGATGTAAAGACCATTGCATGTCTTAAAAGATCATCTCCATGGACATTTTATAAGAATACCTTAATTTGCATACATTTTTAATTACAAATTCCACATACCTTAGCTTTATATTCTTGTCCAATTTCTGTTTTTTCTTTGATGGACCTCTTAGCCTGTGCTACTTGTCTGTGAATTCCACTTCCACCAGCTGATCAAAAGAGGGCATATTTAATTATTTTCAACCATGAATCACAGATTTTATTTGTGTTTTAAATGAGGTTTTAAAAATATGGTTATCCAGAATCTTATTTTGAAGAAAGAATTAGAAGTTGTTTTTAAAGAAGTATATCTAAGACAACAAAGAAATCTCCACATCTTTGAATAAAGTGCTTTTTTTTGTATAACAAGAATTAAATAGAAAAAAAATAATTTAGAATATATTTTAAAAACAAAAAACATTCAAGCAAAGTGAACATATAAAGCTCCATTTAACCCACGAACTGTGGTGGGCCGAAAAAATCGACAGATAAAAAACACGGTCCAAAGCAACTTCCAATCCAATATTTAACTGGAATATAGCCGCTTCCTTTTAGTAATAATAAATTATCTTCCGGGTCAAGCTGTTTGTTGATAACTTAACAATAATTACTTTTTAATTGGAATTTAAAGTGCTAAAGCTAAAATGGCTGAAGGTATGTTGGGCCTTCAGTAGTATAACTAATAGAAATATTTTTGAAAGCTGTTTAGGAGAGGAGTTAAGTGATACTGATGATGATTTTAACATTCCCCATGACGATCTCAGTTCGTATTCTTCTTCTAGTGAACCTGATACTAGATTTAGCGATACTAAAGTGGGCCTGCTGTTAGACTTTGAGCCAGGCCCAGAGGTTGGGCAAAGGCTGACTGAATTTTAGTCACAGAAGCAACATAATAGTAAATCAGAACGAATAAATTTTATAGTTTAACAACCCAAATCAGTTCCAATGTTCCTTTTTAAATGTTTACTAGTCAATAATAACTTTTTTTGCCTGGGATTTTTGTATGTTGCACTTGGTTTTAGCTGTGTTCCCATTTTTCTTTTTCAGTAATAAATGACCTAAAATTATTTAAATTGCTTTCAGAAGCTTAATTGTAATTAATGATGTTATGAACATTTGAAAGCAAGACATTTTTTGGATTTTATTATCTTGAGCACTCCAAGGTCAAGGACACTGAACAAAATTTTTTTTTTTACGGTTGGGCAATATTGCCAACTTTATCCCCATCCATTTACCTTTCTAAAAATATATGCTTATTAGGGTCTAGTATCAATATTTCTTTGTCATTCCAAAGGCACCCAAAAAGCTCTGAAAAGCTCCCACACTACAGAATGATCTATGCCACAGTTCGTGGGTTAATAAAGGTTTTCTATATACCTTGATACTTTGATGCTGGGGGTTCATTTTCACCATCATCACCACCAATAGCTGAATCTAGTTTTCTTTTCCTTGACTTTTTCTGAAAATGAGACATAAAAAAAATTACAATTGCAATTGATTTCAAAAGAAATTCAGGTTCTAAATAATTCCACATTTCAGAAAACTTCAAATAGATTTGTTCAAATAATGAAAATTAATAATAATTAAATTTTCTAACAATGGTTTTTTCAGTTATTTCTATAATTAAGTTTTTTTAGGGTTTAAAACCTCACCTTGAATTCTTCAGCTACAGCACTCACTAAATCCTCAAGGTCATCATCTTCATCTTTTTCTGCGGCTGACTTCTTACCTTTATTTATAAGTTTACATTTTTAATTTACAAAACCACATCAAAAGCTAAGTGCAAATATTGATTCAAATTTTTAATACTGCTGTAAATCCATTTCAACAAATATCTGAACACAAACATGTAATAGCTTAAATATAACAGTACAGTACATGACGTTCATTTATATTAGGCATGACATAATTCATCGAAATAGGTACAAAGCTTAAAAATTAATCTTCATATCAGCATATCAACATTTATCTTAGTTGCAAATAGAAGTTCCACTCCACTGCAGATTATTTTTTCATTATTTAGCAATTGTACAAACTTTAATAAATTTTTTGATAAGCATTTTTAAAATAATTATTGTAAAAAATAAAAAGAGACTTATAACTATAAAGATGTGTATAATAATAAATATTTATTAGTTCATAATCATATCTCACCTTTTGGTCCTTTTTCTTCATCTTCTTGAGTTATAATTAGTTTTCCATCACTAGACATTTTAAAACCTCTGTCTTTATCTACAGTCTTTTTCTCTTCCCTTGTATTATTAGGTCTAGTTGCTTTAAAAAAAAAAAATTATAATATTTATTGTAAAATTGCTAATTATAAATGACATTAAAATATTTTTTAGATTCCTAAACAATATTTTAAATGAATTATTATGAACTTTAAAAAGCAGATTTGTTGAAGAAGCAGTGCTGCAGTAATATTTACCTTAAAGGCTAAGATAAATTTTTTTAATCCAAATGACATTCATTAGAAGTTTCACAACGGAACTTCATTAGAAGTTTCACAACGGAACTTCAAGTGTTTAAAAGTGTAATGTGTTGTTTATATTACCAATGACTTGTTTGGCAGCTGCAGGGTCCATGAAATCAACAATCTCATCTTCTCCTGTCTCCATAAGCCAAGCATCTTTGCCATGTTTCCTTTTTTTATTCTTCTTTGGCAAACTCTCACTTTCTTCATCATCGCCAATTTCAGAATCTGTGTCTTGCAGAAGATCATCAATACTGGAAGATAATATACACAACTATTAGCGGTATTATTGACAACAATAAAACACATCATAACAGCAACTTATGATAAATCTGATAAACTGGCTTAAACAACGAACAAACTCCATTAATATTTAGTCACAAACAAAATTATTTTCTACTTGATTAGTTTTAAAAGCTTTACCTTTCAGGCTGGACTGCAATCTTCTCTTCCTCATCACTATCTCCTTCATCTTCATCACCAGGTTCATCCCCTTCATTTTGTTTCCTCTTGGCCCTCTCAGTGGATTTGTGAATGTTTTTGAGAAGTTTGTGCACTTCTGTACGTGTCATACTCAAAATTAATTCAAAGCTGAAAATGATGAGAAACAATTTACTTTAAAAAACAACCTCGCTCCCAGAAATTATCACAAACATCAAATACACATTTTTGTGATTGCCTTATTTTGCCAAAGTTAGTTGTTTATAATTTTATTACTTAATATGCTTTAAAGAGATCATTGAATACTTTCCATTCTAACAAACAAAAGCATCCATTAGTTTGAAAACATCACCATAATATCAGTATTATAACATAACAATCTTTTCAGATTATATTTTGAAAATAAAACATTTGGTAAAAAAAATACTCAGAAATATCTTAATCTTCTTCTTCTATATCTTAAGGGCCCACGATCAATTTATTGATCATTTTTGCTCCTATGCATGTAGATGGGATTTGCAATGTTTCTGTTCCTGGTGTTGATGAGGAAATTTCACTGATTTCCAGTGCCACTTTGTGAGGGAATCATGCACTAGGGGTTTGAAGGCTTGAGGCAATAGACACTAGTGTTGTCGCCTCAACCGTTCCTTTAGAAAGCTTGTTCCAGTCCCTGATTGTCCTGGGCAGGAATGAGCAGCTCCTATACTGGCTTCTTGCTGGTATGTGCCTGAATTGCCTGTCATGGCCTCGTCGCTGTCTATGGGGGAGAGGGACGAGTTTCTGTTTAATACTGGAACAGTGTACCAGCCCATTATTTATCTTGTACATCATGGAGAGCCTGGATTGTCGTTCCTTCAATGGTGACCAGCCTAGTGTTTCCAGCATGCTGCCAACACTAGAGGTATTCCTGTAGCAGTTTAGGACAAAGCATGCTGCTCATCGCTGGACTGCCTCCAACCTGTCAACGCTCTTCTGGGTAAATGGGTCCCAGACTAAAGATGTATAATCTAAAACCGGACGGACAAAGGCTTTATATGCTCTTTCTTTCACACAGGAGTTGCCAATCTTTTAGATTTCGCCTTAAGAACCCAAGGGTCTTGTTTGCTTGGTTACATACATTGTTAATATGCTCGTCCCAGCAGACCTCTCTTTGAATGGGAACACCCAGGTACTTTACGGAGGAAACTGGCTCAAGTAAATGGCTGTGCAGTTCGTATTGGTAGTGTAGCGGAGTACAACTTCTAGAGACTGATAGTGTCTGGCACTTGGCAGGGTTAAATTCCATGTCCTTTATTGTTATTTGTAAGATATAATGAATTATATTCTTATCTTAAAGATAAAAAATAAAATACTGTTAAAAAAATCATATCACTGTCAACAAAGTGCTTACCCAAACTTTTTAATGAGTTTTGTAAAAATTATTTTGGTCGGTCTTCTCACATTTCCTTTCAAAGCTATTTCATGTAAACTTTTCAACTGAAAAAAAAAATATTAGCAAGGCCAATTCAATTACTTTATTCCAATCAAATATTTAATGTAAATCTCTTTCATTTTTAAACAGATATTTGTATCAGGTGTTTTGGCAAACTAACCCCTTAGGTGTTTCATTAAAGATCCCAAGAAACTGAAGAACTGTTTCCTAATATAAGTAAGTCAAAATCAAGAATAAAATAATGGCATAATAATTAAATATCCATTTATTAAAAATCATCTTATTTTAATTCTGATACAATATATTAGAAAAGTCAATGAACAAATGTAAATTATTATTTTTTAAAAATCTTACCAGATCTTTGAGGTGAGATGCTAAAATTGTATTTTCATAAGCAGAAATCAACACCTTGATAAAGCCAAGAGCTGCTTTAATAACTTCTCTGGTCTTGGAAGCAAGCAATAAACATGCACTGTCTATCAGGTTGTCTAAAACAGGCCCAATAAGGCGTTCTAAATAAATTTAAGAAACAAAGCAATGGTCATGACTTTTTTTAAAGTCCATTTAATTCATATTATGATTTAATTCATATTACGATATGTACTTCTTTTTTATAAAAAAATGATATAGACAAATTATATGATCAATTAAAATTTTGATTCTTTCAATTCAATGAGTTAAGGAATTTCTCTTGCTTGAGAAAAATAAATATATAAATCACAAGCCTTTTCTCTTTAAAGAGCTCACCTTTGTAGACAAAAACCATCCGAGTTAACGCTAAGAGTGTTGCACTGATCATGTGAGGAGAACCTGCAAGGCCAGCTAACACCTTATTCACAAATACTCCAAGACATTCTGTAATTTGTAACCATTAGGTAAATAATACAAAATAGAGAAAAATTTTTAACCCACGTACTGTGGTCGGCCGATTTCCTCTTTCTGTACTGTGTCGGCCGATTTTATCAGCCTATGAAAACTGCGCTGAAAGAACAACTTCCAGTCCAATATTTTACACTAAATAAAAAAATTCCTTTTAATAATAAATAAACTTCTGTTTTCGCTCTTCTGTGTCCTTTTTTAAACTTTGGAGTTATTTTTTACATTGATCTGTACAAGCAAATTTGTGTAAGTGGATTTTTGCAAAATGGATGAGGCCATAGATGGATCAGTTAGGAATCTTTTTGATAATTCTTTTTAGTTAATGACTTAAGTGATTCAGAAGATGATTTTCCGATCACACACGAAGACAATGATAATTCTGATATTTTTTCTAGTGGGTCAGTAAGCGAAAGTTCGGACAATTTAGACCTAGGCCTAGAACGAGTAGGAGTTGCCGCAACGTGACTCATTCAAAACTATGTTGCAGATGATTTTGTACCAACAAAAAATAATTGGATGTTGTTCTATATATGTTTCCTTAAATTTCATTTTATGGATTAAATATTTATATAGCACCATTTTAAATTTTATGTTTCATGCTATTTACTAATGTTTATATTGTTTATGTCGTGCTTTTGAACGTAATTAAAGGCATCAGAAGAATTTTTTTTAAAAATCTATTAACTAAAATATATACAAATAATCCGTTTTCTGAAAGATAAATAAAAATGTTATCATATTATATAAACATTATAACAGTATACCTTTAAAAAAATTGTAGTTTGAGGTACTTGAAAAGAAAAATTTTCATTATTTTCTTTATACTTCGTCCTCCAAAGTCAAGGTAGGAGTATAATATATCATTAAAAAATAGCCAGTATGATTCGCCACTCAATAAATATATAAATATATACTTTATGGGGTTTAGCTGTAGTATTTGCATGTGAAAAAATCACCTTTTTCAAAGGCACTCAAAAAGCTATAAATTGCCCACACAGTACAGAAACATAACATACACAGTTCGTGGGTTAAAAAAGAAAAAAAAAGAATGGCAATAAAATAATTTTAACATAGCTCAAAACAGTGTTTGAAATAAAAACAGTTACCTTTCTCGGTGGCTTCTGAATTCCAGGTAATGAATGAGTCAGCCATCACAATTACAAGCTCAAAAGCTGCTGCTCTAGCCCTAGCTCCTATTTCTTTTGTGCACAAAATGGCCTTGGAGATTAAAAATTAAAAACTGGTTAAGTAAAGAAGACAGTGACATATAATGGAATTTTAATATTTTTTAAGATTGTAGAGAATAATTGCACCATACTGAAACTAAGAGTCCATACAACTTAGGCATGGCAATGAAGTACTTTGAAATGACTTACTTCTGGTAAAGTGGCCATGAAGAAATCCATGTTACATTGTTGTAAATTTTTGTAGACATGAATTAAACATCGTAGACGAGGCTGTAAAAACAGGTTAATACAATTTTTCAGATACAATTTGATAATTTTAAAAAATTTAATGGGCTGAGTTTTAGTCTTCTTAGAAATTTCCTGTACCCTATATTTCACCCTCAAGAGAATTTTTGAGTTGGGCAACTCAGAATCATCCAGGAGAATATTTGTAGAAAAATGTTTAAAAGTTTAAAATTAGATTCAAAAGTTGCAAATTATTAATATAAAAATTCTTTATTTCCCTAATTTTTTCTTTCAAAGTTTTTGTTGTCAGAACATAAATATTTTTGTACTAAGTTCAATCTAATACCTGTATTTCTGTAAAAAGAAATTTACATCAGGATGAAATGAAGATGGTGAAGCAAAGAACTACTGATAGAGAAAATCAAAACTTTTAAAGATAATTTACTTCAAATCCTAATAAAGTTTCCCTTGTATGGTTTAATTTGGAGACATAAAGATCTAAAATGATTCTCACTCAAAACGTGCATCAATAAATAGTTTGTCATGTTAAATTATTCAAACTCATTATTTATCTGTATATTATCTTTATTAGGCTTATAGCTTAAAATATAGTTTTAAAAATTTATTTTAAAAATAAAATCTTTCTTACAGCTTTGGAAGATGGGCTTGAATTAGATAAAGACTGCAATAAACTATCTCTAATTTCATCCAAATGAGTTGATATCAGTTCCTGGCATGATGGGGACTGACTTCTGCAAATTTCTTCTAAAACACGATACGATTTTTTCTGTATTGTTCTATCCTCTGACTGGAAGGGAATAAAAATCATGAAAGGTCTCCATTAACTTGGGTATATATATAAGATTCAAATGTCAATTTAAATAAATGAAGTTTAATGATTTTTTAACAATTCAATTTTTTTTTTTCAATTTCATTATCTAATTTCATTTAATCTAAATATAAAATTGCTGGAATGAAAAATGGACTATTAAATTCAAATACTTTAAAAAATATATTACCCTTCTTATTCATACATTTTGGGGAAAAACAAACCTGCAATCTTTGTAGAGACAAATCAAAAAGTAGTTTTACTCTCTTCAGGTCTGCAAATGGTACCATTGAAATAGCCAAGTCCAATAATGCTATACTGAATTTTAAAAAGAAGTTTAAAGGCAGAATAGAATAGTAGCAAACAAAATGTAAATTTGTGATATTAATTAAGTTACAATAAAATTATCTACAGCTATTAAATATTTTTTTTAAAGACATGTTTAGAATTTTTATAAAACAAAGCATGTATTGGCGTGTTCAGAACACTAGTTTTCTTACTTTCTGAATCCACTGTAATCTAATTCTTGCAATTTGTCCAGACATTTATCCAAAAATGTCAAAATCAACTGGAAAAAAAATATGCAATTGTAAAAACAAAAATAATCAAACAAGGTAGTAGAATACAATAATTTTTTTTACTGAAATAATGCTAAATGAAAAAACAATTTAACCACAACATACCTTAAGATCTGCTACCACAAGATACTTCTTTATTGTTTCTAACACTGCCAATCTAACTCCATCCGATAAAATACCTTCCCCAGTGAATTGATTGAATAATATGGGCAGGAAGTTCTTTGCAAATCTCCCCACTTCTTCTTTATCTGACTCTGTAACAGATAAAAAAAATATAAAGGAAAGACTATTTTGAATTCACCGCATTTTAATGTTGAAGTTAAAATTGAGAAACTGGAAACAAAGTCATGACAAATCCAATGTATTAGTTTACAGAGTGCCATTGTGAAAAATCATCTTTTTTATTTCTTATGCAGTTTTTAAGTTCCAATGCTGCATAGTTTAATATCAGCTTATTACATTCGCTTGACTTAAATATATAGACTTTTAAAAAATTCTACTTGTCTCCACTAGTTCAATTTTAATTTTTTTAAACGTGTATATTTGTAATAGGATAGTTGCAATAATTTTCTTATTCTTAAATATCAGTTATATTGCAGATAAATGGAAACTTTTCAGTGAATACTCTATTATCAGTAGGGAGCCAGGGGAGAGCAGAAGAAGCTGCCCCTCCCCCTGTGACCAATTTTATGTAAAAGCTGGGCCTTTTTAATAAGAATCCTTATTTGTTCCTATTATAAATATCCCAATAAGCAGATTTTATTTGTCCTAATTTTGCATTTTCAAAAATATTATTGAGAATGGCTTGATGAGCCCCCTCCTTAGACATCCCCCCCAGCACCAACTGCCTCCATTTTTTGTTAAGTAGCCTTCCACTCTTGATTTCTGCTGTCCTCTCCCATCATGCACCATTCAATTCACTGCCACTCTTATTTCAAAAAGCACTGCATTTATCCTATATTACAGTGTTTATACAAAAAATAAGACAGGGTCTTATATTAATTTTACCTCTGAATATTGCTTTAGGACTTATTTTAAGGGGATATCTTATTTTTATCATGTAAAAAAATCTATTTCTATTCAAATTTAGTCCTGTCATCTTCTTCTGAAAAATTGTCATAATTCACTAAACCCTGAGTTCCTGCCTGAATTTCTTGCGACATCTTTTCTTATAGAACCATTAGCCTCTCATGTATAGTAACAGAACTCTCCATATATGAGCACACCTTGTGCATTTAGCCTACTTGTTGTACATAGGCAACACAGCTGTCAGTAATTTCATCCCATGAATTCTTCTCCAAAGTATCAACCTCTTGCAGACCTGGCTTCATAAAGCTCCACGCTGATTTCTCTCCATTCTATTTCTAATGTAGTCATTGATTTCCATGCGTAAATAGTCCTCAAACGGCTTGTTTATGGCAGTATTGAGAGTATGGAGATAGGCAGTCATTCCAGAAGGAATTTTATCTATTCCCCCTCTGCAAGGAAGTAGTTCTACCCGCAGCCAGGTACCACTTGACCGCACTCAATTCTGATGCACTGACTGCTTCATTGCACAGACACTGATGTTAGGCCTTATTTTCAGGGTAGGACTTACATACCCCTACCCCAAGTTAGTGTTTATTTTGGTGCATGTCCAATTTTTGGGGCAACACAGTGTTTAACTCATTTCCAAAGGCAGTGCTACTTCGGTACTTAATTTATATGCCTGACAGAGGGAAGTAACTCTCTTTTTTATTTATTTCTATTTTAAATAGAAATGAGAGAGGTGTGTCCCTATGCGCCGGGACACATCCGTTAAAACCCCCAAAGGATGCATTTAGTCGCAACCGCAGGGAATGAGTTAAGGATGCAACAGGATTTTCAGATTTGCCCCTGTTGGTGCACCTTTTTAATTTTTTCGCTCATCACAGCCTGGCTACTCTACTTTATATTAAAGGAGTAAAATAATATATGTACATATATAGCTGTTAAAAATAGAAACTAACCATTTTCTAAACTGCAGGATATAAGGGACCTCAAAGCAGCCATTACATCCATCCTTAAATCTTCTCTTTCACTCAGTGCTGTACCTAGAATCTTAGCAATACCTTGAAAACTCTAGGTAAATAAGAAAGCAATAATTTTAAAAAATACTATATTTAAAACAAAAACAGTAAATTTTGTATAAATAAAAAGGTCGTAAGACTTGCTAAGTGCAGTAACTTTTGGGATAAGTGAAATAGATGCAATATCTAGCAAACACATAAATTCACAAGTAATGAACCTGTTTAAGGTCTGTAGGGTGATCACAAAAAGCTTTCAACAAAGACCATAACTGAAGGTGTAATGCATCATAAGCTTTTCCCTCAGCTATTCGACCCTCCTTAGTAAATGACTCAGCTGAAATTAGAGCAGGGTAAAAATAATTATTCCAAATGGCAGAATTAGATTTATTGATTTTTTTGTCAGATCATTAATTAGAATCATAGAAATTACTAGGTTAATATAAATTTACCTTTAGTCCTGAACTTTGCAGCAAGCGGCAGAAAGTAAGATGAAAAGAAACTTAGCTCTGTATGACCTATATTGTCTCTTAAAACTGGTAATAGCCATCCACGGGGAAAATCTAAATTGTCACTAGAAAAATAAGAGTGTTGATAAATTGATAAATAAATTTATGACCAGTAAATGTTTTACACCAAACATGAATATTGTTACCATACCAGATATTTTTGACTGTTTATCCCATTTTTATCCACAATGTACATCAAGTAAATAAACCCTATTATCTGAATGCACCTTTAGTCCAGCACTGGTTTAAATACAAAAAGTATAGAAGAATTAAGAAACTTTATATGTTCAAAATATTTAAATAAATTCAACAAATTTTAAGATTAAAATTTTAACGTAAAGTTTAATAAAAATTTGAACTGCCAAAGTTAAATGGGAAAACTACAAAAATTTAGTTACACCTTAGGCTGGTTAATACAAGACACTTTCAAAATTATTTCCATTGATTGTCAGGAAAATGCAGACCTGCCAAGAAAAAAAAATCTGTAGGAGGGGTGGATCTAATATCTCGCGCAAATTAGTTACGCTGGTCATGTGATTTGGTCAAATATATTAGTAGCCGAACGAATATCTCAAGAACTTATTCACTTATTCGTCCGGTCGCCGGATATGTAGACACTTCATAAAAACAAATGCAACACTTCCCGCAGTACCCGATTTTTTTTTTTTCTCTTTTGGATTTTTATGACTGTCGAAAAATTATAAAATTCTGAATTTTAAGGGGTTTGCCAGAAGGTCATAATGAGGGGTAAAAAATAATTCCGACAAAAATCGGATGGGTTGGCAGGTCTGAAAATATCATAATTAAATAATGACAGATGTATGCATCATGAATGAATCAGTGTTGTCTGTTTATTCATGACAAGCAGGTTTTTTAAATGGCAAAGTTGGGAGATACATGTGTCAGAAACAAGGGTGTATAAGTGTTAATTCCTTACTTTTCCCCCGTAATGCCAAGAGGAATAGATTCCAACACAAGTCGAGGTCCCATATTTTTGACAGCAAAACCAATGGCCTGATCCATTTCACCCTTAAAAGAAAAGTGAGGAGTGTCTCGAAGATCTCCCATTGACGAAAGACACTGAAGAAAAGAGTTGAATTACTATTAATGCTTTGAACTCAGTACACAATGAAAATGGACGGTAAAACACAGAATAACATTATTTAAACATTTTTTTAATCAATGTAAAACAAAAAAAATTGAATGAAGGTGGTATAACTTATTACTTCTTATCTTGAAGTTTTAGTGTGCATTTAAGTGTTGACAATGTTAAAATTAACTAATTAATTAATAAGGTAGACAGAAAAGAATAAGTAATTTCAAAACTTGAAGCTGAAAAGTCTTGAATTTGATATTGATGGAATAAAAAATAGGGGAGACTATTTTATAAGTATTAGTTATTTGACAGTGATGAAGGGGTTAAAAAAATTTCTGGTCACACTGCTCTTTAAAATATAGACATTTATACAACTTCTCTTTCAAATACTAACATGTATACATTCTAAAGCAATTCATAATCACCAATCAAATAATTTATTTAAACTCTTCACCATTTCAATCAACCCAAAGAAGAAATTTAGCATGAAATTTAAAAAAAATGCAAATCCTTTATCTGTTGTTACATTACTGCCGCAAATTTGAGAGAGAGGGACTGATTACTTTTATTGGGTTAATAGAGAGCTTTCGTTTGCTTGAGCCCTAGTTTACCTTTTACTAATTAGATCAGCACAAACCATTCACACCACGCAAAAGACGAGGTAAACAAGAGAACATGTTGAAATGAAAATTTAAACTTTTAGTGAAACATCGCTCAATTAAAAAAGTAAATAATGATACATCAACTTTGAGGTATCATCAATACTTTGATCAGGATAACATATTTTTTAACCAAGAATGTTTTTCACAAAGAACATAAAAATTTATATTATTTTAATAATTTAATATAAAAAATAAAAACAAAACAAAAAACAATATTCTGTACCTTCATCAAATCTTTTGGCATTATTTTACCAAGGACCTGAAAAGTGAAATGGGAGTCCATGTACCATTAAGTTCTGACAAATTTTTTTGTTTATTATTCCTTCTCTTAAATTTCCTAAAAAAGTATAATTAAGTTTAAACTTTATAATTGTTACTGAAGTCCACAAACACAAAATATTATTTTTACTTTTGAACAATCCAGGTAATACCATTTCGATTACAGCCTATTTACTTAAAAGACCCAAATATTCCTACTCAAAATTGAAAACTGCCTCTTCACTCACTTGAAATGCTGTAGACCAAAGTTGCAAAACTAAAGACCAATTAGAATGAAACTGATAACTGAGACCAGTTTCCAAAGTCTTTACTACTTTCTGTAAAACAGCAATAGAAGCATTGCTGACTAATTTTTCTTTGACAGCCTCCACACACTCCAACAGTAAGACCTGCAATATTATTAAAACATTATAGTATAGAAAATAAAAAGATAACTATGTGCTGGGTTAATAATCTGCATTTCCTGTTTCGGATCAATACCTGGCTCAGCCCTAATTATTGGCCTCAATGTTAATATTAAAGCCGAATAAAATATTTTCCATTTCATTTCGCATAATCAAATATTTTTCAAATGTACCTTCATTGTGTCAACAGCTGCTTTAGCTACATCATGACGATCAGACAAGAGACATGTCATACACGTTGAAAATAGACGAGGTAGATGATTCACATTCAGATCAATGTTTTGGCTAATAAAATAAGAAGTTAAATATGTACCAATGAGTAATTGAGAATTCAAAAATTATTTATTACATTCATATGAGCAAGTATTACCAAGTTTTATTAAGGTGATACATTATTTGATTGTACTTAAAACCTCAGTTTTTGTTCAATTAAAATGATTAAATACATACAAATAGATATTATAGAATATCCAGATCTGAATGGACTGAGAAATATTATTGGTGGACAATGTCCGTAGCCGAAATATGTTTATAAAAAAATAAAATTTTTTGTTGTTAATGGATCTTGACTAAACTGTCCAGAAACCATTTTTTGGTCAGGAACTATGATCAAGTCAAATATGGTTGCGATCTATTGTTTGGTTTTAAGTAATATAGGTAAATACATACATGTACCACAAGAACAAAGAAAAATAAATATCATACTTTGCCAAATTCACATTAGCAGCTTCCATAACTTTCAGCCAAGCAATCATTGGCTGACTGTCTTTAACTGACGGTTGGTATTCATAGAGCGCCTGAAAAAGTTTAGAAATGCAAATACCTTAATAAATGCTGATACTTATTTATCACGTAATTAGAGATACAGCTTTTAAAAAAAACCAACTTGATTCGATCTTAAATTTCATGCAGTTAACTCACAGTAAGCAACTGAGCATTCATCTGTGCTGGCATTATCTCCACACTAGGTTTGGCAGAGAATAGTCTGAATAACACTTCAATACAAGATGATCGCAAAATCTGCATATAGAAAATGAATTTATTCAATTAAGAAAGGGCAGAAACTTGTACGGGTATTAGAATTTAATAAATATATTAATTGTAAAACATTAAGATTTCTTTCAAAAAGTTGTATCTAAGATTAAAGAAATATAAATTACAGTAAAACAAAGTTTCATTTCATAAAATGATGAACACAGCAAACTTTAAAGGGCTTTTACATGTGGAATATTTTTTTTTTATCAATTATTGAGGGAAAAAAGGGTATTTATTTAAAATATTTTAAACTGTTATCTTTCTTGAAATAGTTGACACATTGAAATTTTGAAAGAAAGTTTATTTAATTACCAAATCTGTTAATGTCATTAGTCTTAGTAACATTTCACATAAAGACTTGACATTTGTGGCTGGAAACAAACTAAGGGTGTCTTTCAACAAAGACAGTGTATACATCACTTCTTTATTTGACTGTCCTGAAATAATAAAATATTTTGATTAATTGAAAAATTTTACACTTGCAGTAGGCTAGATTTTTCAAAAAAATTTGCAAACTATTACAAATGAGTAGAATGTAACATTTGATCCCTTCTTAATTTGATGCTAAGGGATAATTGGATTTCAGATTATTGGTTTTTACTGAACAAAATTCAATTTTTTTTTTAAACCAAAAGTATTGAACTTAATTAAATAGAACATAATAAAAAAAATCGTTTCCATAATTGCTTCCTAAAATATAATATGCTCCACAAAGAAAAATATATTATATATAAATAAAAAAGCTTATTTATCACACCTCTGTAAGCCTCTATTTGTCGCTCACAGCATCTAGCTATTGTAGAGGCTGCTGGATGAAATGGTGGAGCTGGTGTCTGCTGCATAAATATGCTTCCTTTCAAAACTATTTTCACTGCTGTATGAGCTGCTTTTCTTATCTATTGAAAATAAAATACTATTGACCAAAAAAAATATTAGTTATCTTACATTTATTTTACAATACTTTCACAAGGAGAAATACAAACAATGCAAAAAATGAGATAAAGGCAAGCCTACCTTAGGTTTTTTATGGGAAACAAATGCAAGCAATGCATCGAATGTATGCTTTATTGAGCCATCCAACCATTTATCCAAGCCCTGAACTCGTAACAAACTAGCTAGGCAAGAGAGCGCCTAAAAAGAAAAGAAGTGCTTTTTATATAAATTTGTGGCAACAATTGTTATAACAACCTAAATTCTACTCAAATATACTATTTAAGTAAATAATTAATAACTAATAATAACAACTTGTCAAATATTTAACAATCTACTAATATAAACATTTCAAACTTCAACAACTTACAGGTTTTAATGGAGTTGTCATTTGTTGCTTAACACAATCAGTTACAAGTCCCATCAGAGTTTTTTGCACTTGTGAAAATCGACTTTGCAAAACAGAAACTGGCACTCTAATAATAAAAAAAAAGAAACAAACAATGTGAAAAGTTACAGTGTGTAGTGGACAGGCTCTTTTGTACACCTTTAAGAAAAGAATCAATTAGAATCAAAGAAGTATCATTAGTCTTTACTTACCTCTTAATGACAATGCTCAACAAATGAGCCATGGCAAGTCTTGTTTCCAATTTATCTGGCTTTTCTAAACTTGTTACCTGTCAATTGCAAATAAATACAGTTGTTAAGCTAGGCTAATGACCATCATGCTTTCTAATGAACTTAAATGTATTTCAAAAGTCTATAATTACATTAAGAAATGATCCTAATGAGCATTTCTGTAAAAAGCTAATTCTGAGACAAGGCTAAAATAAATGGAAAGTTATATTTAATGAGAGAACAGTGAGCTTATACTTTTCTGAATTCAGGAAAGTGATGTTAAAAACAGATAATTTCCTTGTATCAAATAACTCAAAGGGACATTCCTTGACATTGTGAGCATATTTATATTAAATTTCATCAAAATTAAAATATATAAGCAATGAAGATGACCTAATGAGGCTCAACTCATAAAAATATTTAACTGTTCCCACTAGTAGCATAAGATTTTTACCCAATTTTATTTCTCTGATACGTAAGTGGAAATGGTTACGTACGGATGCCTTGTACTTTTGGGATTACCAGACTATTGCTGTTAAGTACAACCATGAAAGTGCTCAGAAGTTGCTTTTATAAAAATCTTAAAATTTTATTTTTATCTTGTGACTTATCTTTAGTCAATTTATGAAAACCACGATTAAAGTTACGTTATATTTTTAATATTAACAAGAACATTGAGCATGTAATAAAAACGTACCAAGAGACCAAAGTATTGCACATCACTTCCTTCCCCACCATTCTCTTTGATAACTTCTGTAATTGCTGCCAAGACAGCAAGTATCTGGGTCAATATGAAACAAATATATACATATATAGGTTTGTTCGTAAGACATTTATGTATGATACTGAATCCAAGTATACATTTTATAACAACAAACATTTTCATCATTTATCTATTGTAATATAAAAAGACTGACCTCTTTTTGTACAATGGAGTTCGAGTTGATGTAACGATGAACTTTATTAAAAGTAACATTTGTACACCCTGTTAAATTTGTTGCCCAAGTATTGAAAGTTGTGCCTCCAAAAGATGTTGCATCATCTTGAATTGAAGCCTCTGTGAATCCTCCAGTAGACGCATTGTGTTTTTCGAGAGCTTCCAAAGTCAAGCTTCCACCTAAAAGTGAATGAAATGTATAATTCAAAGGTAATAAAGAAATTTTAAGTAACTACGCTCTTCCCTTCAATGTCAGCTACAGTGGACATTTTCTATACAATTAGTATTAGTAAATAGCCAAAACTGACATAGTGTAGTCTAAGACTAAGCCTATGTCATCTTATGAGTCACACCACATATGCAGTCGTAACTCAATCTTTTGACTTTTCTGTTGCGGTTGTCTCTCTTGGCCTTTAAATAACCATGGGTTTGTAGCAGCAGGGCAGGGAGACATGCAATATTTTTACTTATAAGGGCTTCGGCTAAAAAAAAGTATGGGGCATAGGTCAATAATCAATTAGGCTAATAAAGCAGACAATTTTTGCGCCATGACGTCATTTTATGTTTCTTTTAAGTTTCTGTTTTGGATTCACTCCCACTGTCATTATTACTAGAGTTAAATTTTCCTTAATATGATGATGGAATGTTTTAAATTAAATTTTTATTGGTTTGTTAATAATAATTGTAAAATTTCATTGGTTGGATATTTTAATTTTTTTCCACCATTTTTGATTTGGGTTTGATTTTTGTATTTTATTGATTTTCTGACAAATTTTGGATTTTCTTTTTGGTGGATCCTGACATAAAGTGTGTATTCTATGAAACTGTAAGAGTAAGTTGGGTTTTCATTATTTTCATTTTACATTTATTTTGTATTTTTTTCTTCATTTTTATAGTTTTCTGGCCACAGTGTGTAAGTGTGGCCGCACACGTGGTTTTTACTTGAGGTTTAGGCTTAGGGCTAGGGTTAGTTTTAGGCTGCGGCTATTAGGTTTCAGAAGTGAGAGGTTGGGTTTATTAAAAAATATTTAAAATATTATTGTAGATAAGATTGTAGGGTTTGTACAACAAAATTTGGTATCAAATGAAAGATAATTGAATGGACTATATGTTTATAAACTTAATTATTAATTCTTCAGTTTAACTAATAGTCATTTCGTAGTGTAAAGGTTCGGTTTAGTTAAGGTTCAGGTTACATTAGGTTTAAATTAAGTAGTAAAAGTAGGGATAGTTTTAGGGTTTAGGTTAGTTTTAAGTTTAGGGGTAGTTTTAGGGATCAGGTTATGTTTAAGTTTAGGGATAGTTGTAGGGTTTAAGATGGAAGCAGACACAAGGCCGACATCTTGGTTGCATGATCCATGATTATTCCGGGGTCTTAGCAACCACCTAAGCCGTTCTTAGGAGTTTGGGGGACCTAAGCATGGAGCGTAGGTTGGGGCCCCGGAGGGGGGGGGGGTCAGGGGTGGAGCTCCCCCGAGCGATAAAAGCGTTTTCAGCTGCTTTTTTCTTCCTTTAATAATACCTGGGGTCGTAGATCGTTTTGTTCCTGGCATTATTCCTAAGGATTAGGATGTAGGGCCTACGTGATAAACTAGTTTTTCCTTTAACTAATAATCCTAAGAATAATGTGATAGCCTCAAAATGCACCGTCCTGCCGCCACCAATCCACAATGTGTAATGGTTTAGCCAGACTAACCGATCGCTATTTATACTTTCCCATTCCCACGGCCAAGCCCCTGATTTCCTGTCTGTCACCCCCAAAGCTCCCCCCTGCTGCTTCCCTTCCCCTGCCTCCAAATTCAACTCAAAAATGATAAATTTCAGGATGAGGAAGGTAACGTGAGTGACACAGACGGCTGCAGTGCCAGTTTTAAAAAAAACGGGGGATCGAGGGCGCCTCACGGGGGCCCCCTCACGTTCGGGGCCCTACGTGGATGCGTAGACAGTGTATGCCTAAGAACGGGCCTGCAACCACGATGACAGCCATGTGATTGTGATACGTCTACGTCCAACCACGATGACAGCCATGTGATTGTGATACGTCTACGTCATGCCACTGCCGGACTGGTAGTCTACATTTTACATCAATAAATCCAATCATCGAACTTTGGTTACTCTATAAGAGTATCGACGTTGGTGCTACAAACGTTTATAGTTAGACAACTAAAAAAAGACATAATTACCTGGCAGTTGGATAGCTTTACTTTGGAGCTGGGCTTGTGATTTTGTCTGGTAACTAGAACTAGGATTGTAACCGAAAGGGAAGTGTTTGCCGTGAAAAGACTGTTTAACTGCTTCTCTAAATTTTTTAGTTACCGGATTACTGGATGAACTTTTTGGCATCTTTCTTTTCTTTACAATCTTCATTTTCGTCATAGGTTTCTTGGGAATACTTTTCTGTGCTTTCATTTTAATTAATTCGCTATTGAATATCTACTCTACACGTGCAAGTTGCATGGTTGTTTTGGTCAGATTTCTCGTTTGGTCTCTATTCCATTGCCAGAACATTAAAGCCGTTTGTTAAATCATAAATATGTAAAAGCTACTATTTTTATGCAAATCAATGAGTAAATGAAGATATTTATATGTATATTATATTTTTACTTGAAATACAAGATATTTAAACATGATATTATGATGTTGTATTATCACGCAAATTAATATTTGCGTGCAAACTGGCAAGAATATGACTATTACAACCATTTTGGATAATATAGTTTTTAAATGCAGAAGAGTACAAACTCGAATTTCCACAACAAACAGATTCAACACTTCGCTCTGTCGTTAGGCTAGAGACACTACACTTATGGTCTACAAGTGCTATGCCTAAAGTTCGAAGTTAATTACAGTGTAACTAGTGTTACAGACTACCGGTAATGAAGTTGAAGAATAGAATAAATATAAAATTGACTTGATAACTCACTCAGAAATATACGTTGGTAGGCCTACACGGGCTCTACGTCAGAGTCAGTGGCTTGCGACGACGAAACTAAGTTATATTTATATGATTAAATTAAATAATTTTGGATAGGCACCATCATATTGATAATTTGGCTAATGTGAAGAGATAGCACACTGACATCATTTGCCTGCTTTGTCCCTGGTTCCGATAGGGTCAAAACCCAGGTTAGGGATAAGTTTAGGGTTCAGGCTAGGTTTAGGGATAGATTTAGGGCACTATGTCTATGTACATCGCCGCGGTACAGCTAAATCATTGGCTGTGGCCTGCGTACACCGCAGCCATTTAAAGTAGCAAAACCATGGTCTTTGTGAGGCTTTAACTTTTTGGCCTAACCGGTACTTGTAGATTTAATGTTTTACTCTTGTTAAAACTAAAAACTATGCATTTAAATTTAAAAATTATTTAATACCTTGGCCTTGGGCTTGGGAGGAAGATATTAATAATAATAATAAAGTTTATTTGAAAAACACGCTTCCTCCCCAAAAGCTCGAAGCGCGGTACAAAGTCAACTATATTCAAAAGAGAAATAAAAACAATCTAAAATTTACCACATTTAAAAACAGACGCAAAAGTAAAAAAAACAACTATATACGACCATACCAAGTGCGTCCCAAAAAATGAAGTTTTGAAATGTTGATGTCTCACCCCACAGAATATGTCTGTAGGGTAACAGTAGTTAACCTGCAAAATTTCAGCTCATTTGGACAATGTTTAGAGGTCCCCCAAGAGGTTTAAAGCTCCAGATTTTGGTGTAAAATCATTCGCGGTCAAATCTAATACAGCGTTAATGTTGCATTATATGCGAAACTGATATATTAAGTAACAAATTAATGCTTAGTATTGTTTATAATATTAAATGAAACAAAATATATAAATCTTGAATGGTTTATATTTTTAAATTTGAAATTTAAGTAAAAAATTATGAAAAAAAAAGTTTTATTCATTTTGTCAAGTTAATTCTTGAAAGAATGTCAATCTGCTTGAAAAATAATAATAAGCAATGCAAATAAGCATTCCTAATATTTATCTTGTACTTTGTACTGTAGGGTAGACAAAAATTTTAAAAAGTTCTTAAAATTTAAATTTTATCCTTCGACGCTTGTGGACACTTCTATTGCTGCCCACAGATACTACTTACCAGCTAAGTGCTATTTCTTATTTTTATAACGTTTTTTCTGTTGTTTTGTTCGCTGACGAAGGCTTTCTGCCGACACGTTCGCTGTTTTGTTACGTTTAATTTTTCAGGTTTAACCATACTCTGTTTTACTCATTTTATTTTAAATTTTATCCAGCTGTTCACGATTACACTCTGCAAAATTTTTCCGATGTTTGTCAACCACTTGGAGCAAAAATTGTTTTTGTTCTTCGTCCTTGGTGATACTGTCATTGAAATTTTGTATCAATGCTACACCTCGCTCTGCAGAGTCATTGATACAAGCCAGATTCTTTACAAAATCTGCTGCAA